CGATAATTGATATGTGGCAAATATTTCCTATATGAAAATGATGCAAATGATAGTGTTAAATATGATCATGATATGATAATGCTAGAACATGATAATAGAGATGATGCATAGAATGAAATGCTAGAACATGAGAAAGAAATGACATATAGATGCACAAAATCAAGCAAACAAAATGGTTAGATAACAAATTGTTCCTTCTTGTGCCCTAATTTTGGGTTGTATCTATTGATGGATAGGAAGGGCTTAAGTTAGTTTCTTAGGGGTGAACTATATGAAGGGTTAGAAAATTTTAACCATTAAAAAGTTCCCAAATTGTTCCTTACATCATTGTCCATCACAGACTAGTAAGGTAATCCAATCTTCACCCATCACAGGTTACCAACGAAAAAAATTCAATTTGAGTGGGAGTATTTCGCTAGCCATTGTAGAGATTATCATCTCACGAGAGCGTATGTACTTTACTTCCTCTTAAGAGGGACTGAGCCTAGGTATAAAGCTCATGTAATGCAAATGCATGTGATAGTGTGTGTGAAGGAACACAAAATTATCAATCCCATATATCAAATGAGAAACCAAAAAGGAAAAATGTTAGTAAACAAATAACTTAAAGCCATTAGTTCAAAGGATAGGATAAATTCAGAAATTATGGCTTGGCTCTCTAATGTCCCTAGTAGAGTTGCCGAACTGTCATAACGTCTAGATCCAGGGATCTATTGCTAGATATTGACTTGAATGAGTCACCACCAATCTTTTTTATCTAGGTGTGATTGGTCACCTAGGGAATCTATCCTTTTAAGGAACTCCTAAGCTTAACTATGGGTCCCTAAAAGAATAGGTTCAGGTCTACGAACCAGAACAGGGTTCGGGAGTTTGGTTACATGTGGGGAAGGTTATAGCACCCCTACATGCCCATCCAAAGGATGGTACCATATTATTTCGAATTTATCCTAAGGTTTAGAATCTAATGGCTTCAAATTTTATGTTAAATATTGGAAACAATTTTTAAAATTCTTCATCAATATGATAATACTCTAAAAAAAATTCCTCCTCACCTCAAGAGTATTCAAGAATCCCATTTGATTTCTTAAAGAGGCTCCATCGTTGGAAAAATATTTATTTATTATTTATTTATTATTACCATTTTTGTTGAAAATAAATCTAATTATTCCACCATTTGGGCCAAATTAGAAATATTTTTTCTTTTGAATTTCTAAAATTTCCACCATTTGGGTTTATTTAGAAATTTCTTTTTTATTTCTTGGAAAGAAAATAATATAACAATTATTTTTATTGAAATTTCATCTAAATTATTCCACCATTTAGGTCAAATTTAGAGAAAATTTCTCACCCAGAGATTTATTAAAAATTTACCATTTGAAATTTCTAAGAATCTCATCTTTAGATAATCATCAAATATTTTCAATCCAAATTTTTATTTGGAAAAGAATACAATTACTTGTATTGAAATTTCATTTAAATCATTCCACCATTTGGGCCAAATTTAGAGGAAATTTTTTACCTAAAAATTTCTTAGGAATTTACCATTTGAAATTTCTAGGAATCTCATCCTTAGGTAATTTGTATTTAATTACAAAAAATTTTATATTTTTATGTTTTTTATTATTTTTAATTTTTTAATTAATTTTTTTAGTTTGAAAATAAATATTAATTATTGTTATTGAAATTTTATCTAAATTATTCCACCATTTGGGATAAATTTAAACAAAATTTCTCACCTAGGAATTTCATAAAAATTTACCTTTTGAAATTTTTATAAATTCCATCATTGGATGATTAATATTTATTCCCAAAATTTTTATTTTTTTTATTATTTTATTATATTTAATATCAAATAATGAAAACCATAAAACAAAGTGAATAAATAAACAATTATGCATAAAACAAAATAAATGAATAAACAATCAAATAAAAGAAAAAAAAGTACCAAACAATTAAAGAATTTGAAAAAAAAAAGGGCAAGTAAAAGTACCAAAGTTGACGTGAGCTTTGGGATGAAATTCCACCAAACCAAACCAATGTGCTAGCCTATCAACTCATTTTTCTCTTTATTTCCTTCTCTACCAGACCCTGCAACTCTAATTCTTTTTATTCAAACAGAACCAACTTGAACCACGAAAAATTAAGATTGTGATTGTGTGGAATTGGTTTCTATCGCAAATGATAATTCGTGTTCAATGGTTTAGGCATTTTGATCCATAGTGGCAATAGGCTGGCTGTCAGTGGACGTTGGTTGGCAATGGCCTGATGGTGCGCTGTCCTCTTTATTGTGCTACACCTCTTCATATTTTCTTTGTTGATTATGTTTCTGTCCCCCATTTTTTTTGTAATCCAGCGTTTATTTATAAGGATTGATCAGAGGAATTTCTGATCAATCCCAATTCCTTCTTGTGATTGAGATTCAATCTTTGAATCCAATCCAAACTCTACCAACCCAGTTTTATGCAAACTCAAACACTTTTTTTTATTATTTTTAATTTTTTAATTGTCAAAGTTGATCTTGTAGACCCCCAGATAGATTGGGGTGTCTACATTACACACTATCAATCAAAAAGTATACATATCATTTTGTGTAAAACCTGAAGATAAACTGAATAGGATGAAAATTAAATGATGGATAAGGAAGCTAAAGTTTTTTCAAAGAGAAAAGTAAATGCTATGAGTCGAGATCTATTGAAATATAAATTTCAATTGTATTTGTAATTGAAACATGAAGAAGACATATTTGATAGCTATATTCTCTTCTGCTTCATGATTAGATGCTAGAATGTTCATATTATCAAAACATGGTCATCGAGAGGGAAAATAAAATTTTAATATGGGAATATTGAAGGTAGTTGTAGGAAGAAACACCTCAATTGATAACCAATAAAGGCATTTTTTCCATACAAAAGCCTTAATCATTTATTTATAAACATAAAAAAGAATAGTTTTTAAATAATGATCATTTAAGGTGTCTTTGGCCAAAAATGCCTCTAATAACCTCCATCCTAGAAAACGTCTTGAATAATCCCTAACAAAAAATTGGACAGGATTATTCAAGGTATTTTTGGCCAAAAACACCTTGAATAATCCCAAAAATGCCTTGAATAATCCCCTAATAAAAATTAAAGATGATTATTGAAGGCGTTTTAAGTCATAAACGCCTTGAATAACCCCACTCAAATTTATGAGTGGATTATTCAAGGCATTTTCTAGGAAAAAAAGATCTTGAATAATCCCCAATACAAATTGAAGGAGATTATTCAAGGCATTCTTGGCCAAAAATGCCTTGAATAATCACCTCATAAAAATTGAAAGGGATTATTTAAGGTGTTTTATAGGCAAAAGTGCATTGAATAATTCCTAAATTTCAAAATGTTTTTAGAGATTTTTCAAGGCATTTTTGTCCTAAAATGTCTTAAATAATCACCTCATAAAAATTGAAGTAGATTATTGAAGGCATTTTTGGTCAGAAATACCTTGAATAACCTCCATTAAATTTTTTATTTTGGGGATTATTCAAGGCGTTTCTAGGCAAAAATACCTTGATAATCTACCAAAAAAATGGTAGGGGATTATTGAAGGCATTTTTGGTAAAAAAATACCATGAATAATTCCTCACAAAAAATTTAATGGAGGTTATTTAAGGCGTTTCTAGCCAAAAACACCTTCAATAATCCCTTCATAAAAATTTTTGGAGATTATTTAAGGCGTTTTTTGCTCGAAATGCCTTGAATTCAATTTTTTATAAGGGATTATTGAATGTGTTTTTTATGCCAAATGTCATATATAGACCAAATATTGTACCATAATAAACCTACAACTAACTTGCATACATTTTCAGATATGCTTTTCAAAATGGTAACGGCTATTTCACAATTTTTTAATCAGGTCAAATTTGAAAATAATGCTACTTTTCCTTTCAGAATCCTAGAATACCACAAGGAGAGGTGGGTTTTTTATTCTAGGACTTTGGGTACTATTGAGAACATGTTAGATTTCCCCAAAATCAAATTACTCTGAACTAAACATTGGAATCAAATACCTAATAGTAAGATTATGAGGGAAAATGGGTGAATTCTCTTGAACCCAATGTCTCCTTATCACATTGCATACATGTACAATAAATTTGGTTTGGAGACAGTTTTAATATTAAGTTTTAGATTATAGACGATGAAAGTTTTTAGTGAATAGATATTTTTTATCAACTGTTTGAATCATTCTTACTTCTATATTTACAGGGAACTTAATCAATGTGTTGATTTGTTTAACCGATTTCTCTATTTATTGAATTTATATCTTTAAAACTCAATATGTATCATTTTTAATTTTTTACAAGTAAAAGAACATTTTACGAAAAGGTTAGAATTCATTTGAAATGAAAGTAACACTTATAACTAAAAATTATCAAATTTGAACTATAGCATTTGAATGCTCTTGGAGGCATTCAAATTCCCTTTTATAATTTTGTTTTAAGTCATTTTTTTATCATAAAATTTGACTGCACAGTCGAAAGCATTCGAATGCTTTAGTATAAAATCATGTCAAAAGACTTATCAAATATGACATTCGAATCCCTTTAATCAAACATTCGAATCTTTTAGTATAAAAACATTTCATAACTTAATTTTTATTTTCAATTGAAACATTTCATAACTTAATTTTTATTTTCAATTGATTCTTTCATGTTTTAATTCTAAACTTTCATATTTCTGCCGTTGAGACAGTATTAGTTGAGGTGTCTTCTCTCTTTATTTTGGTAGTTAATAATTAATGTTTATTATCATGAAATGAAAAAGGAAAGCTACATAAGATCGATTGATGAAATGGCTAAATTGGATCATTAAACAGTTTGATCTGTCAAGTGCTCAGAAATAACCAAGAAAATCCGATTCTACCACAATTAAGGATTTCTTTCCTCACAAAACAATGAAAAAAATCACCTTAAATAGCTTTGTCTTCCTGGGTTCGGCACAAAAATTGTTGTAATCCATCACTTTACGAACCATGGTAAGAAATAAAAACTCCAAATTTCAACTGAGGCCACTTTAATCTAACTCCTAATTTACTAATGGAAAATCCTTTTTTTTTTTTGTTCAGGATCCATCATCAATTGCATATGTTATTTGCCTGGTCTCACTGATCACAATTTGTATTACTGCAAAAGCACAGCGAAATGTGTTCAACGTTCTAAGTTATGGAGCTGCTGGCAATGGCCTTACTGATGATTCCTTGGTAAAATTTTCTACTTTTCAGCCTTGAAATCTTATATTTGCAGATATGTATGAGTTGTTCCATATTATTAGTACTGATTACTACTAATTTTCTAATTTTTTTGGACGCAGGCGTTCATGAAGGCATGGAAGGACACATGTAGTGCTGCAGCAGGCACTCCTACCTTGATTATTCCCAAAGGAAAAATATTTTTGGTGCATCAGATTACATTCACAGGCCCCTGCAAGTCTAATAAAATAAATGTCAAAGTACGATTAAATTAACAAAATTAAGAATCTGAAGCTTATCTAGTTGGTTCATAGTTCATACAGCTATCATTATGAGGAGGCAATCAGCATGTGTAGAGTTCAATTTTCAATACCTGCAATCCCTTTCATGTCATCCGTCTATAGCTTCCTTTGTATCAAAAAATTAATAAAATTAATAGCACTCCAAAAGCTTTCCTACTTCCTAGTAATACATCAGTAAATTGGCATGTGAGATATAATCAAATTTGGATCATAACTCATGAGAATAGATAATATGATCTTCAATTCTCCAGGATTCTTATTCTTCCGCAATCTAAATTTCTGTTGCAGCTATCAGGAACTATTATCGCACCCAATGGTCCTGATCAGTGGAAGGCAGCCGATCTGTCAACATGGTTAGCATTTCAGGGTGTAAACGGTCTAACTATTGATGGACTTGGGATGATAGATGGACGTGGCAAAGGCTGGTGGGATCGCTCATGCAAATTTCATCGTGGTCAGCAGGTATACTGCAACATCAAAATCGCAGAAAACACAACCAAACTTAAACTTGTGAAGTTCCATACTTCCAGTCATTTTAATTCCTTTTCTTTTTTCCTGCTTTTTCCTGATTCCATTTCTGACTGTTGAACTTCTCCGCAGGGGTGTATCACACTAGCACCAACGGTAAGTACGTTGAGAGGATTAGGTCCAGGCAAAACTCGAATCCAGAATTTATTACTACAACTCTAGCTGTCATTATCTGCCTAGTTATTGTAGAGAAGGCAGGTTAGTATATTACTATATTATGCTTTGCTGCAGGTACTTAAATTTGAGAATTGCAACAATATTCACATGAGCAACATTAAGTTTCACAACAGCCCCCAAACACACGTACTGATCTTGGGATGCCAAAATGTTGATTTTGGATTCTTGACCATACAAGCTCCTGGAACAAGCCCCAACACTGACGGAATACACATTCAGGTTGCTCGTAATGTGTCCATTCACAATTCACAATTTGCTGATGGTGAGTTGATTGCTTTATGTAAATGCTTTTGATTTAACGTTTTGCATTTGAGAACAGCAAAGGAAAAGAATTACTACAGAGAATTCACGACATTCTACAATGGAAAAATGGCATACATGGTGTTTCAAACTCAATGTAGGACACTGTCTGTTGGTATCCGAAGCGCCTCAAGGACTTTTCTCTATTGATAGATTGGAATCTAATTCCCTGGTGTTTACTTTATAAATGCATTTGACAAACACTAAAGCTAGGTAGTAATTGAATGAGTGCATGACTGTCAAGTTGATGATTAACGGCTTCATTGTTGATGAGCAGGTGATGATTGTATCTCCATTGGTGATAGGACTTCTGACATCTCCATCACTGACATTAGTTGTGGCCTGGTCATGGTGTGAGGTAAGCAAATTTTTTTGTTCAGTCCTTGATGTCACTGGGGATTAAATTCGATCATTGGAACAAGCCGAACACTCCTAATTTTAAATGCCTAACAGCATTGGAAGCCTAGGCAGGGGCGGAGCGGACGTTCAAGTAAATAATATTAATGTGAGGCGAGTAAACTTCCGAGGGACAACTAATGGGGTACGAATCAAGACATGGCAGGTATGAATTTTGTAAAATAAAAAAAGAAAAGAACAAAACCTGTTGACCAACTAAATTCTTGAGTTAAATTTGTATTTGTTTTGCAGGGAGGCAGAGGTATAGTTCGAAACGTATCTTTCTCAAGCATAAACTTCCAGGCAGTGGCAAATCCAATCATCATTGATCAGTTCTACTGTGATATTCCAAATTCGTGTAGGAAATCGGTAAGACACATACAGAAGCCTTTAGAACAACTAAAAGCATTACAATTTACATGTACGGAGCTTGTTTTATTGTTTGAATTTATACTTTGAATTTTGACAGAACACTGCAGTTCATATTAGCGGTGTACGATTCTCTCAATTGTTTGGGACATCAAAGACAAAAGTGGGTATCAATCTCAATTGCAGCAGTAATATTCCTTGCACCGGCATTACATTAGAGGACATTCATTTGGCATCGGCAACTTCACACAGCCAATTGATTTCTAGCTGCAACAACGCCTTTGGACTGAATAGAGGAATTATACATCCCAAATCCTGCCTCCGGAAAATAATTTGAGAGACATTATGATTGTACATACAAATTTCCTTCTAAAAACAAAAGCAGAAATAAAATGTCAAAATTCAATTTTATTAAATAAAATAATGGATACAAATTTCTATATGATCTTTTTTATGGAAGAAAATAATCTTCTGATTCGATCTTATCAAAAACAGAAACGATAATATCTAATGAAATGATTGGCAAATCTTCAAACCAACGTTTTGTGATAGAAAACAAGCTTGTGATTTTTGTGAACAAAAGCTTGATCACGAACTGGCAAAAATAAGCAGATCTTTAAAGAAATGACCAAAGCCTTATGATTTCTTGGCTGGTTATTGAATTTCAGACAGCTTGAGCAATCTTCAAAGATGACCAGCAAATCTGGAATGTGTGAGAATAAGGCTAGAGTGTTTCTTCTTTGCATTGATCTCCAGATGAGTTAGAAGAACTCTCTGTTCATAATGCTAGGTGTGATATAATGTGAGAGAGTTCTAAAATTAACTTAATCATTTTGATTTTTTCTGTAATAATTTTAAATTAATTAAAGATAATGAAGATGACTCATAGAATTTAATTAGGTGATATATGAGTCCTTAATTTTGATTAGTCTAACTTATGTTTTTATCCTGATATACCAAGTAATTTTAATAAATATTCAACCAATTTATTTAACTAATTAAATATTTACTTTAATTGACTTAAATATTTTCATCAAATTTTCAATGTCTATGATGGTTAATTTATATATAGCAAGCCCGGATTTTTGTCACCCATGTAACCTGTATTAACCTTTTGAAGTATTGGAAAATTGATTGGTGGAGTTCTTAGGTAATTAAATTTTTAGCTTACGCAAGGTTCAACCTTGTAATCTCTGCACTTCTTACGCTCCTCGAAATTATGGAAAGATTTAAATGAAATTCCTTAGGTGATTATAGTGAAATTTTTTATTAGAAACAATTAAATAAAAATTCAAATTAAAAATCAAATTGATAGATTAAGTGATCTCATTATATAAATTAAGTGTGTAAAATTTGAAAAAAATTTATATATATTTTTGGATAGACATTTTAAAAAAAATATTGATAAAATTTTTAGTGTTAAATAAATATCAATCAAATTTAAATTATAAATAATTTTTTTAATTTTTTTTTACATATTATTGATATCCACATTAAAATCTATTAATTTATTGGTTTCGATTTGTTATTAAATCATTTTTAAAAAAAAATTCCATAAATTTTTCTAAAAAAATTTCATATAAATTTTGTCAATCCGAATAAAGCTAAGTTCACTTATCAAAGGTTGGCTTAAAAGTCCAAAATTGAGGCATCCTGCTAAATTCGTAAGAAGCACGTTACTTTAACAAAGTTTCATAATCGAATAACAGGATGATTGTATCTCTAGATTGGAGATTACCTTTCAAACATTAATGTGAGAAATTGTTTTTATGATTTTTGATTGAGAAATTTAAATACAAATATGGACCGACAAATTAATGTAACTAATGTCTAAAATTATTTTTAAATTGATGTCTTGAAAATCAAAATAATTTTCTTTTTGGTACATAAAAAGTCAAGATTTAAGAGAAATTGAAAAAATATTAACAAGTATTGAGAAGTAAATATCAATTTTATTAAAAATCATTTAAAAAAACAATGAATTATTTTGAAAAGGGTGAAAATGAAGTGGCCCATACATCAGGTTTAGAAAAACCTTTAGGGACCGTGGGCTTTTGACTCGATATGACACTTTCACCCGCAATTTTCAATTCGTTACTTTCTTAATGAAGCTTAGATTGTTAATTTTAAATTATGAGAGCTGAAAATTATGGAAGTTAAGCAGTTATACTTAAAGAAATATAAGTCAAAAAAACATAGAGATGTCTTATTACTGAACATTGTTTAATTAATTCTTATTTGATTAGATTTATTCATAAAATTTGATACCTTAACCCCTTTTAAATGGGTAAAGTTTGAAATTATACATTAAAGAAAAAAAAACAAAATTTCTAAGTACAAATAAAAATTATATATAATTGAATTTAGAATTTAGCTCAATTGATTCATTTAAAAGGTAGTATCAAGCAGATCTGAATTTCAAATCACAATACATACATCCACTTCTCATATTTTCAAGTTAGAGTCCCGTTTGCAAATATATATATATATATATAATTTAATCAACTATTATATTACATACAAGAAATTAATAAATTAAATCAAATAAACTAACAAATAAATCAGCTTATAGGTGAACAAATTTAATATAAAATTGGATTAAATATATATATATATATGATAAGATTTGAATTTAAGATAATTTTTAAAATCTTTTCCTCATCACTAAGATAAAGTCTCATTAGGTACACTTTTTTTGTACACATGATATTAGATTACACTCTTATTTCGTAAATATCTCATGTATCTATCTTAAAATTCGAACTCAGAATATCTTTATTGAAGTCTTAAACTTCAACTATTGGGTGTCTCAATTTGGAATTAATTTTCGAATAATACTTAATCATAGTCATGAATTCCTCCCCCACCCACCCCACAAAAGAGAGAGATAGCCTTGGCATCCATGGGAGCTGGATGTAATACACTTAGCTCATGATAGAAGTAGAGACTTCTTAATTAATCTCGGTTTGATTGGTACATTCTTAAGTGTGCCATGTGTTTTCCATCTGGTTAGCCCTACCCTAATGCTCACGTTGAATCTTCTTGAAGCATGCACGAGATCCAATAAATTGTTCTTGGACCTTGGGTATTTCTTAAGCTTAATTACATGCATTCCAGCATCAATTGCATGCATTAAGCAAGAAGGAACTTGCATAACAAGTTAGTTAATTGTTAAAATTAAGCAAAGGAATTTGTTTTAATTAAATCATTGTCAAAGTGATTTAATCAATCTCTGTACATTGTTATTAATTATATATACGCAATCAAGGCTTAGAACTTGAAGATTTTACATACTACATTCTCATATCATCGTCTCCTATAATACCCAGAATGGTGAGATGCCTCTAAGTAACATATATTCTCCATTAATGAGCTTTTAAGGGGTCTTGTTTTTCTATATTAATTTTGAGAAAGAATGTTTGATGCAGGAACTTTTCACCATTTTTACAATTCTGTGCATAGTCACTCCAGTATTGAGCAGTGCAACAAATTCTTTTAATGTGATGAATTATGGAGCAGTCGGAGACGGAATAACTGATGATTCTACTGTAAAGTCCATCAACTGGTCTATCCTTTTCTTTCTTATTATTAATGTTAATTATTAGTTGTTAAATTGTGTTACGGTTATGTCTTCAAAGAAATTGCTAATGTCTTTTCATTAAGGGGTTCAATATTCCAACAACGTACAGGATATTTTCCTCTACATGCATTAATTCAAAAATAAAGTTCTCAAATTAAATCGTGCTTTAACTTTTGTCGACAATTTATAGGCCTTTTTGAAAGCATTGACGGCTGCCTGCAAAGCTCCATCAACAAATCCAGGCCTCATTATACCAGCAAAGAAGACATTCTTGCTGAAGCCTCTGACTTTCACCGGTCCCTGCAAGTCCTCTTCTATATACGTCTTGGTAAATAGAATCAATATATTGATAAGATTGACTGATATGTAGATATTCACTGGATAAATAAGGGGATTGCAGGTGTTGAGATTTAAACTTCATATTTGCTGGATATCACCTCTTAAAAGTCACTGCATGATCTACCTGAGTGTTAAGCTTTGGGTTTGCCAGAACGATTTTAAATGTACTTACTAATGAGAATCTATATAAGTTGCCAGCGGCCTAGTCTAGCTGGAATCAGCTCAGATCAGTTGCTGGAAAGAAGATCATCATTTGAAAATTTAGAAATTTACTCTTCAAGTTACTTTTAGGGGGCATTTGGTTTGCGAAATCGTAGATTCCAGAAGAAAGCGTGATCTTCTGAAAAATGCGATACCTAGTATTTTCTTTCATTTTTAGGGCATCCCATATTCAGATTCACTTATTTGGTTGGGGAGAATCCATATACATTAAATCTTAAATAATTACTACAATCTCCTTGGAATAATTACTATAATCTATTATTTTTATAAGAGGATTGTTGAAGGTATTTTTTTACTAAAAACGCCTTGAATAATCCTTTCTAATTTTATAAAGGGGGATTATTGAAGGCGTTTTTAGCCAAAAACATCTTGAATAATCCTCTTCAATTTTTTAGAGGGGATTATTAAAAGCATTTTTGGCTAAAAACACCTTCATTAATCATCTCATAAA